GAGAGAGAGTGAACAGGAAAGAGGGAAATCAGTGGATCCTGAGGAAGGTGGAATAGGTGGGGAGAGCAGAATAAAGAGAGAGAGGTGAAGAAGGTCATACAAAAGCCAGCTTGAACAAGTGAGTCTTCAGCTGCTTTTTAAAGGAGACCACTGAGTCCACTGATCTCAGGCTCAGGGGGAGAGAGGTCCAGAGTCTGGGGGCCACAGCAGCAGATGATCTGTCACCTTTGACCTTCAGCCTGGTGCTGCACAACCAGTAGGCTTTGATCACTGGACCTCAGGGACCTGCTGGAGGTGTAGGGACTAAGAAGATCACCAATGTAAGATGGTGCTTGTCCATGTAAGGCCCTATAGACCAGAACCAGGATCTTGAAATGAACCCTGAAGTTGACTGGCAGCCAGTGAAGCTGGAGGAGAAGCGGGGTGATGTGGGTGTGTTTGGAGGACTTGGTCAAAAGCCGAGCACAGGCGTTCTGAACCACCTGTAGACGGTTCAGGGAGGTTCTGCTCAGACACGTGAAAAGAGAGTTACAGTAGTCTAAGCGTGAGGAGATGAAGGTGTGGAGAACTGTCTCAAGTTCAGAGCGGGACAGAATGGGACTCAGCTTAGCAACGTTCCTGAGATGGAAGAAGGAAGAGCCAACAAGAGAACTGACATGAGATGCCTCTAAGGCTTTTGATCGTGTAAACCACAGAAAACTTTTTATTAAGTTAAAGCTACGGGGGGTCCCTGGGTTTATTGTGAGAATCCTGTCTTACTGGTATGCTCATCAGACGATACAGGTTAAATGGGGTGCCAGCATCTCTGCACCATTTGGCGTTAGTAATGGTGTTAGGCAGGGTGGAATTCTGTCTCCTATCTTATTTAATCTGTACGTTGACGATCTGTCAGTGCAGCTCAGAGCCTGTAACACAGGATGTTTGATGGGTACAACTTTGATCAACCATCTGATGTATGCTGATGATCTGGTGGTCTTTAGTCCAAGTAGTGCTGGTTTACAGCAGCTCCTAAATATCTGCTCTGAATATGGTGTGCAGTACGATATTCAGTATAATGCTGTTAAAAGTGCTATCTTGATATGTAGAACCAAGCAGGATAAAAAGCTAAACTTTCCTGTGTTCAAACTGTCTAATAGTGATCTTAATGTGTGTGAGAAGGTGAAATACCTTGGCCACTTTATAACCGATCAAATGCGTGATGATGCTGACATCCACAGACGGTGCTGTAAGCTGTATGCACAAGCTAACACTATAGCTCGTAAGTTTGGTTTTTGTTCACCTCCAGTTAAGGTGGCTTTATTTAAAGCATATTGTACTCCGCTCTACACAGCCCAACTGTGGTCATCCTACAATCAAAGCAGCATGAATAAGCTGCAAGTTGCATACAACGATGCCTTAAGGATCATACTTAAAATACCCAGAGGGGGCAGTGCCAGTCAGATGTTTGTAACAGCAGGTGTTTGTACTTTTAAAGCTCTTTTAAGAAAGCTCATATTCCGTTTTACAGGCCGACTGGATAGCTCTGCCAACAGTATAATTTTAGCAATCACTGATCCTGCTGTGAGCAGTTGTCGCTATTTCTCCAGTATAAGGAAATACTGGTTGAAGTGTTTGTGTGGTTAACCTTGTGTGGAACAGTTTATAGTAAAGCTTTTAATTACATTTAGATTTTTATTCAATTTTATGCTGTTAACTTTTTATTTCTATTTATCTATTTTGTTTCATTGATCTGTTGTTTTATATGTATTTTATCTGGACCTAAGAGTCTGTCAATAAAGATCATCTATCTAATCCAGGGTGAGAGCTGGGTCAAAGGTCATACCAAGATTCCTGACTGAAGGTTTGGTGTGGGAAGCAAGCTGACCAAGAGAGTCTCTGACTTTGGGAACCAGCTTGTCTGGGGCACAGATGAGGATCTCAGTCTTATCTTCATTCAGCTGAAGAAAGCTCCCACCATCCAGGTTTTGATAGAGTCTAAGCAGGTGTGTAACAGCTGCAGCTTAGACATCTCATGGGGCTTAAAGGAGATGTACAGTTGGATGTCATCTTCATAAAGATGGTAGGAGATTCCTTTGAAGGAGCTCAGGATGTGCTGAAGAGGAAGCAGATAGAGGAGGAAGAGCAGAGGCCCCAGCACAGAACCTTGTGGGACACCATGGGTAAGAGAGGTGGTGGAGGACCTAAACTTGGAGACGGCCACAGAAAAGGAGCGCTCAGAGAGATAAGAGGAGAACCACTCCAGAGCAGATCCTGATAGGCCTACCCAGTCTCTCAGCCTCTCCAGTAGCAGGTGATGGTCAACAGTGTCAAAGGCTGCAGTCAGGTCCAGCAGGACCAGAACAGTCCCCTGCATCACTGTGAGTCAGAAGGTCATTAGAGACCCTAAGAAGAGCTGTTTCAGTAGAATGAGCTCTACGAAAACCTGACTGGAAGCTATCATAGATGTTATGTTCATCAAGAGCAGCTGTGAGTTGTTTAGCCACAACCTTTTCCAAGATCTTGGAGATGAACGGAAGTTTAGAGATGGGTCTGAAGCTGCTATGGAGAGAGGGGTCGAGACTCTGTTTTTTAAGAAGCGGGTGGATTACAGTGTTCTTAAAGTAAGCAGGAACCTGACCAGAAACCAGAGAAGCATTAATTATAGAGAGCACGCTGGGACCGATGGACTGAAAAGCACTTTTAAACAAAGATGAGGGTAAGATGTGGAGGGGGCATGCAGAGGTCTTCATAGAGTTAACTAGTTTGGTTAACTCAGGCAAAGAAACAGGAGCAAAGCTATCTAGGATGATGGGCCTGGTTGGAGTCGGGAGAGGCGGCGATAAGGCTGAAGGAGAGATGCTAGATCTAACCTTATTGACTTTGTCCACAAAGAAAGACAGAAAGTTCTCACAGTCTGCAACAGAGTGGATGGAGGCTGTAGGAGAGGCAGGAGAGACGATGCTGCTGATGGTGTTAAACAGCACCTTGGGGTTCCCTTTGCTCTGGGACACCAGGGTGGAGAAATAGGGAACCCTAGCGTCTCTGACTGCAGAGTTAACAGAACAGATACAGATACAGATAGTGGTGTACTCGCTCATCTCTAGTAAAGAGGACCACAAAAATGTCCTCACTGTTAAAAGCTCATGATGGTCCTCAGTAGGGAGTAAGTACAGAAACACAAACACACAGGGCATCCGCGGGTCCTTGAAAAGTCTTAAAAAGTCTTAAATTTACTTTTCCAAATTTAAGGCCTTGAAAATCATTAGAAATGACAAATAATCCTTATGTACAGTTTCCAAAGGTCTTAAATTACCAAAGACCCAATAAACTAGATTATTTTATTTCTATGAAATTTTTGTGAATTTCTAGTTAGTGATGAGCATTTTTTGTGTATGATATTGGCAAAAAGTTGTGGTTGTGAAAGGGGGCTGTTTTTAGATGAGCACATTAGCTGGTTAAGCTAGTGGGAGCTTGCGCCATGGGGAAGTGCAAGTTTAATGGTAAATGGATGGCTAAGCCTACGTTCGCAAAGTGGTTAACAATAGCTGTAAATTATAGCAGAAATTTAATTTAAAAAAATTGCTTAAATTTTGTCAAAACGGCCTCAAAAAAGGTCTTAAAAAGTCTTAAATTTGGCTCCCTTAAACCTGCAGTTACCCTGAACACAGTTTCTTCTTATATGATCGGTTTCATCCCTAAAAGACCCAAATGTAACCTCATCTACTAGATGCCTCTTTCCAAAACCACATACTGGATGATGTTGATGACATGTATTTCTTTATTTTGTGTGTTCAGGTAGATGGTAAAGATCTGATGAACTGTCTAACCAGCCGGACGCTCATCACCAGAGGAGAAACAGTGTCCACCCCCCTCAGCATGGAGCAGGCTCTGGATGTACGAGACGCTTTTGTTAAGGTAAAAGACAAAAAGCATTTCAATTCATAGTTAACCGTGCTTGTGAACTTGTTGTGTTTATGTAATAAACAATATTTGTGTACTCAGGGCATCTATGGGCGTTTGTTTGTGTGGATTGTAGAGAAGATCAATGCAGCCATTTTCAAACCTTCGTCTTTACATCCCAAATCTCTCAGACGCTCCATTGGGCTGCTGGACATCTTTGGGTTTGAAAACTTTGCTGTTAACAGGTAACAAACAGACTCTGCAGCCAGTGATGGGAATATTGGTGTTTAAAATGACAGTGTTGCTTATGGATTTAGTGTTTTCAGTAACTTGTGGTCAAATTAATAACTCTCTCCATCGTTATGATGTCGTTTCCATTACTAATGCAGCACAGGTACGTTACTACGCTGTAGTGTAAAGCGCCTTGGAGTCCTTACTCTGAGAGGCGCTATACAAGTGCGGGTTATTTATCATTTACTACTGTGTAATCCAGCAGCATTCAGAATTGTAGTCATTTCTATTAAGAGGGAATGCAAACTTTCCTCTTTTTTTATCTAAAAGTAAAGCTATAATACTTTTTCCTGGTAGTTACTTTTATAATATAGTAATTCAGTTGCTAACTCTGTTACTTTTCTTGAAGTAGTAATCAGTAACTGTAACTAATGAATTTTTAAAAACAACTTGCCCAACACTGCCTGCACGTTTGTCACATCCCAGGCTGGTTATGTTTCACTCACAGGAAACTGGTGGAGTGCACCTTAGTCTGACAGAACCAGAACAATTTCATGTAAACATGTCGGTGACGATACAAGAACAGCACAAGTGGGAAATGATGTCATCTCTTCTAGGGTTGGTCATCGAGCATCGACTGGAACCGGGAACAACTGTTAGTTTTTCCCGGAATCGTTCAAAGTTTTTATTTCGATTCCTAGAATGTTGACGGAAGAGGAATCCGCGGCCGATCTCCGTGAAAAATAAACGTGATCTGCAAATTGTGATCAAGCCTTTTCAGAGCTGATCACACCAGCTGTCTGTGTGCAGCACGAGCCCCCTCCCCCACCCAGATATAAACAAACGCGTCTGCCAAACTTTTACTCCGTAACGTAAACTAACTCCTGCAGCGTAGAGGAAACGTGTTAAATACGTCAACACGGTGGATTTAATAGAAGCTTAAAGAACAAACTCTGGACGGTGTGAGGTGAGTTTGTCTCACTGCAGAAATAACAACACACACGGAGCGTCAGCAGTCAGACGCAGCCGCTCACCAACACTCGTGTGTGTGTGTGTGTGTGTGTGTGTGTGTGTGTGTGTGTGTGTGTGTGTGTGTGTGTGTGAGCATCAGAAGGCTGAACAATAACCTGTAGAATAATTAAAGTCATCATGCTAGAGCAGCTTCTCTGTGGTGGACCACACCAGCTTCTGCCACAATAAATAATAATAATAATAATTATAATAATAATAAATGATACAAAGCTGTGAACATTTTAATTTCCTTTCTAAACTATTTCTGTTGAGTTTTAATGTTTAAACCTGTTAGCTTGTTACTGACAGCAGCTACGTTTAAGCTTCACTTCCTGTTGTGACTGAAGCTGCTGCAGCATGGAGGTGTAGACTCAGCCATCCTGGACATGATCATCCTGAGAGTTTTAGCTGAAGACAGCTGGACGTTTCTGGATATGTTGGAGACGTTTAGCCTCTCATCCCAGAGGCTGCTTCCACACTTTGGTTGTGGTCAGAAACAAACACACTGGCTGTGCTGCAAGTCTTTTTCTTTTTGTCTCCATAACATGTTTTTGTCTACATGAAGGTGATGTTGTTGTTCATAGAGTTAAAATTCATGTTGAAGTTAAGATTACTTCATCAAGTAGGACCTGTGGTTAGCTGGCTCATGTAAAGCATGTCATGTCTTCAAAGAATCGGAATCGAAACGAGGAATTGGAATCAGAATCGTTCAGACCCAAACGATGCCCAACCCTAATCTCTTCTCCTCCTGCCCTCAGCTTTGAGCAGCTGTGCATTAACTTTGCCAACGAGAACCTGCAGCAGTTCTTCGTCCGCCACGTCTTCAAGCTGGAGCAGGAGGAGTACAACCTGGAAAACATCAACTGGCAGCACATCGAGTTCACCGATAACCAGGACGCTCTGGACATGATCGCCATCAAGCCCATGAACATCATCTCACTCATTGATGAGGAGAGCAAGTTCCCAAAGGTCTCAGTCAAACTTCCTCTGTTTGTTCCTTCAAGTCAGAAGATAGTTAGCAACCGAGCTGGCAGCCAGTTCACTTCACTTCAGTCTTTATTGTCCCTCATGGGAAAAAGTGGAGCCCTCGTGCAAAATCATCTACTGAACATGTAAGAGATGAAAGGAATGGAGAAGTCTAAAAAAATTTCAAACAGTTTCTTCTCAAAGATTTTATTAAAGAAAACAGAAAAAAAATTGCATTAAAAAAATAATAAAAAACTGTTTATCTCCATCTTGCCGAGACTTTGAGTGGATTAACCCTCTCACCCTGATGCCCTTCCTTACTTTACTTCCCAACAAGGAAAACTCAATCAGCTGTTTCAAGAGGAAAACATACCAAAAAGTGGTTTTACATCTGCACCAAAATGTAGACACTCAGTAACAGGAATCAGCCAGCGAAACATGAAATGTTCCTCAGGAAGTGCAAGCCCAAATATGGACATAAATGTGCTCGTTTCCAAATTCTATCTAAGTTAGGTTCCAGCGTGAATGCTGATGTCCTAAATCAAGTTTTTATCCGCTGACATTTGTTAATTCTAATCGGCTTCCATGTGTCGCAGGGAACCGACACCACCATGCTGAACAAACTCAACTTCCAGCACAAACTCAACCCGAACTACATCCCACCCAAGAACAACTACGAGACTCAGTTTGGGATTCAGCACTTTGCTGGAGTTGTTTTTTATGAAACAAGAGGTCAGGATAAGTGTGCGTGTGTGTGTGTGCGTGCGTGCGTGTGCGTGTGTGTGTGTGTGTGTGTGTGTGTGTGTTAGTAAATCTTAGTATGTTTTAGCTGCAGAGTCTAAATGAGCTTTTTGGTGCTCTCTGCAGGCTTCCTTGAGAAAAACAGGGACACTTTATATGGTGACATCATTCAGCTGGTCCATTCTTCTAAAAACAAGTTCATCAAACAAATCTTCCAGGCGGACGTTGCTATGGTAACAGATGCATTACTACAGTGACACGAGCCTGCATGTATCTGAGTGACGCTGTGCTTGAGGCTAGTCTTTAGGAGGAAATGTTTCCTGCTTGTCTTTTTGCTTCAGTGTTCGTTCGTCTCTCGCTGCACATGTTTTTGAATTTCCTGTTTTGTAAATGTTACATGGAAGTGATTGACAGGTAATAGATCAACTATTAAATATCTGTAAACATATTTTAGTGCTATTTTAATCATCAGTTAACAAAGAAATCAGTGAATGAATGATATTCCATGTAGGCGTCTTTTATCTGAGTAATGTCGCTGTCTTCTCTGTCTTTCCTTTTCTACGTGTGGTTTATGTGTACGACCTGCTTGTGTGCTGCTTCTGCCAGTGTCTGTGTGGTTATGGTCCTGCTGCTGCTACACTTCTGAAGGTAAAACCTGAACTTCATCTCCAGTCTGCTACGGTTTCTGGATTTCTAGGTGAAGAAGCTGCAGAAGCAGCCAGATTTTTTTATGTTGGGGTCACAGTTCAGGAAGAGCAGAAGGTTTTCATTGTTGCTGACCCTGATCCTGTCGTTGCTCTCTGGTTTAGTGTGCATGTGACCGTGGTTGTTTTTGTGTGTTTAGGGGGCTGAAACCAGGAAACGCTCCCCCACTCTGAGCAGCCAGTTTAAGAGATCTCTGGAGCTGCTGATGAGAACTCTGGGTGTCTGTCAGCCGTTCTTTGTTCGCTGCATCAAACCCAATGAGTACAAGAAGCCCATGGTGAGTAGTGGCAGCATTCATATGGAAGACATTTACTTTCAGGGCAGGACTTTAACTGGTGTTTTAACAAAGGTTTAACATTTAATATGCTTGTTGAATATTTGATCAGATATTTGTTGTTTTCTTCGCAGCTCTTTGACAGGGAGCTGTGTGTGCGTCAGCTCAGGTATTCTGGTATGATGGAGACGATTCGGATTCGGCGTGCTGGATATCCCATCCGCTATACGTTTGTGGAGTTTGTTGACCGCTACCGGGTGCTGATGCCTGGAGTCAAACCAGCATACAAACAGGTAAAGAACGTGTGTGAAAAGTTGCTTTATTACACTTGTACCTGGTCAGTGGTTTTATGTTTATTATTCCATAAACAATCAAGAGCTCAGGGGCATTTTTGTTATTTATCATCTGAGTTGCCAGGGTTTGACTGATTGTTTCGACATATTTTTGATCAATTTTCTCAGGTTTGGGTCATTTTTACAAAGTTTAACTGCTTTTATTCTCATGTTAAGTCATATTTAGAAGAGGAATATTAAAAGCAGTTGAAACATAAAGAATCTACATGCATCTCATTAAAGACCAAGTTCACTGTTCGTGTCAACACACCTGCAGTTGTCTCTAATGTCAATGAATGACTTGTAAGTCGGTCTCTGTTGGGAAGAAGCTCTTGCCTTCCTGTTTCAGGAGCACAGAGGAGCAGAAGGTTCTGCTGTGGAGCTCCCCCCCCCCCCTCCCTCTCTCTTTCCAGCTGTTTTTAGAGCAACGCTGTGGCGGCATCAGAGAGCCCTAGGTTGTTTAGAAGTGGTCAGACGGTGGCGGTAATGCGATCATGTCCTTTTTACAAATGCTGACGTGATGGCGGTATAAAGGGGGCATGGGGGCGGTCTCCACGCTGCCACGGACTTCTGTTTATTTTGGATATAACTTGCTTATAATTGCAATCCAAGCCGTGCTCGTCAAGTTTTTTACCAAGCCACTCCTAAAGCCTGCCGCACACGAGAGCAATGAATGACCATCTGCTCAGCAGATACCTTGTTGAATGCATCTGATTTTCACTGAGTTTCCAATCGATCCAAGGTACCGTTTTATTTATTTTTCTGACATGCAGACAGGGCGGGGGCGGCATCTGAATACGTCTTGGAATTATCTGAGCACAGAACACGCTTTGATTGGCCAATAGAATATTTCAGCTCAGCCAGCAGCTCACATAATGCGCTCACGGTGAGTTTTATCCCCCGTGAGGCAGAAAATATCGAACTGGTCAGATATTCACCTCAGCGTCTCGTGAGGCAGAAATCTCAGTGAAATCAGGCGCACACATCGAGGTGTCTGCTGAGCAAACGGTCATTCAAGGCCGTTTGCTCTTGTGTGCAGCAGGCTTTAAGGTCTCTGGTAATCTGAGCTCCAGATCTAATGGAGAGAAGCTTCTGGAGCGCTGCAGCCTCCAGTTTATCATCTCAGCTGCTTCGCTTTACAAAAACAAAACTTGTTACCTGTGTTTAGTTTTATTTTAATAGTTGCCGGTTGGAGCTGCGCAGTTACTCCCCACCTGATCATGACATCTCCTGTTGTACAAATGGTAAATGGCCTGTATTTGTATAGCACCTTCTTAGGCTTCTACAACCCCCAAGGCGCTTCACAACACGATCAGTCATTCACACATTCACACGCTGGGGGGATCAGCTACAATGTAGCTACAGCTGCACTGGGGTGCACTGAAAGAGGCGAGTCTGCCTAACCCAGGCACCACCGGTCCATCCGACCACCACCAGCAGGCGAGGTGGGTTAGGTGCCTTGCCCAAGGACACAACAACAGCATTCTCTGGTCGGAGCCGGGATGGAACCTGCAACCCTCTGATTATTGAACTGCTCTCTCTACCTCCTGAGCTACTGCTATCGCAGTGAAGGAGTAGTCTGCATTCACAAGTCTGGCGTTGCGTATGCTGGCATGGTGTGTTGATACAACACACCGTTACGGTAATATCGCGATGTCGATGAAAACGTCCAAGCGCTTCAAAAGGTCGATACCTGTGAGCAAGGGCATGGTCCTTCTCTCACAGACGTAGGCGGGATGTGTCAAGCTCATGGGCCCTATCGTGAACCGGAGCAGTCTTAGAAGACAAGATCACTGGAGAATCAGAGAGAACACGGACAGTTAATGCACATGGAATCAGTTCTGGAGCCCCCCCCCCCCTACATCCAAGCAGACGCGGTCATAAAGAGACTTGCTCATGAATGTAAAATCTGAACCCGTGTCAGTGCGCTGCAGGAAAGCACCTGTTGCACAATGACCTTTACTGTGGGCTTACCACCCTTTCCCTGTGGCAGGAGAGGTCCCAGTAGTATTTCGTCAGGCTCGGCACCAGGGGCTGCTGTCCGTGGGGGTGTCACTTATCATCAATGTGGATGGAGCGAATTGAGGGTTTCCTGTAAGTCAGAGCCAATTAAAACATCAGATAGCAGCGTCCTCATTTTATCTGGCAGCAGGTCCGCAGAACACGGGGTTGCTGCCCCTCCCACCTGAAAATCATTTACAAAATCTTGGATTCTTGTGACATCCTGTTGCAGATTGAAAAGCTGCGATTTCATGCTTCTCATCTCAGCAAGCTGCATTTGGGAATCGTTTCTCATCTGTAGTATGAGATGTTAATTGTTTAATTTCCTCTGAGCCTATTTTTAATGCTACAGGTCCTTTAATTTGTTATAAAATTAATGGAAGCTGAACAAGTAACAGTTCTTTCCAGGTTGATTATAAATGAACTTGTTACAGGAGAAATTTTGTGTTTTGAATGAACATTCAGGCAGAACCGTTAAGTAATGACAAGAAATATCACTGCCGACCTTACTAAAGATGGCTGGTCGAAGCTGTGGTCTGACCACTCTCAAGATGGCGGTTTGATGTGCATGCGCCATCCATCACCTGGCGGTTAGCAAAGATGCTACCAACTCCCTTTCTCACACCGAAGTGTTAAAACGCCGCTAAATCAACTCGAACGACTCGAATTTGTATCCCTTTGTGGGTAGCGGATTTAGAAGACACAGGGGCGCTGTGTCGATCGATTTTCCGGCTACAGTTTGTAAGTCCATTTTTGCCGAAACCAAAAGCTAAGCTTAGCAGCTAAGCGCTAAGCTAGTGGACCTGTCAGCTGATTCAGGCAAAATAGTCCAATTCTGCAATAGAACTGGCTGGCGCGAATAATCGAACGTTCGTGAGCATCCGTATTATTATTCGGCCTAATTTAGACTGGACAATATGTATCGTCTGTGGCGATTCCATGTAAGAAGCTTAGGTAAGCTAGGCTATTTTAAGCGACTCAACGGGGTGACTACCGATCAGATCGGCGGCCTGGGAGCGAACTCTCGGTGGAGATCTCAATCTCCGTTACACAAGTTTCACGCAGTGAAAAACATATTTAAACATATATTTACGTGCAGATGACAGCCGGAAAAATCCGTTCTTTGCTTATGAAACTCCCAGTAGCTTTAGATGGAATCAAAATGGCTGCGTATGACGTCAGACTTAGACGAACAGAGATGAGTCAGCGCCTCCTTGTTTTAAATGGAGATGCTGCCCTCAAGTGGTGCAGCACGAGATAGTACCCTTTTTTTTCACCAGAACATCAGTTTTAGTGTTTTATTATCTAAAAATGTCTAACAATGTCTAAAATATGTCTCCGACTGAACAAGAAACGTTTAAACTGTACAAATATCTGGCTAGGGCTCGCCATCTGTAATGAATTAGATTACGTGTTATTTAATAAGCCATAAGGCGTGGGATTCCATAGGAAAATATGAAATCCACCTTACGGATCTGTGAGTTACTTAAACCAGAAGATTGGAACTTTTTATTGCAGGGATTAGATAACCGAAAATCACAAGCATCCTAAAGGACCTGACTCACCCTGCTAACCATGTCATCTTCCATCTGGTAAACAATACAGGGCAATAAAAACACGCCACGAGACTGTAGAACAGCTTTGGTACAAGAGCCATCACTGAACTGAATGTTGCTGCTAGGAGGTCAACAGTGATTCAGCTGGACAGTTAGTGCACTACAGCACCTTTATGTTAAGCTAGCTCGCCCTGATACCTCAACATGTGACTGTTTACATTTATATTATCTTTATGTTTCAGTTTGTAGTTTTCAGTTTTACGTGTACCACGTTTGCATTTATACTTTTTTAATATATTTTTTGCATCTTGACCTTTCTGTGTGTGCAGGGAGTGGCCTGGGGTAGCACATGCCACCCTTGGAATCTTATTGGCCACCCCAGGAGCCACCACACTAATTTACCTTTAAATCGGCTTTACATTGTCCAGAAAAGGCTTGGGGGTAAAACAAAAAAAGCAAAACCATTGGTGCCACCCATGCAAGTTGTGCCTCACCTGGGCCACCCCATTTTAAAAGCTCTGGACACACTACTGTGTGTGTGTGCGTGTGCGTGTGTTTGTGCGTGTGTGTGTGTGTGTGTGTGTGTGTGTGAGAGAGAGAGAGAGAGAGAGAGATCTGTTTTAGCTTTATTTAACTTATATTTTACTACCTCCTTGTGTGAGCTGTTTTAGTTAAGTGCAAAGTCAATTCTGTTGTACATCTTTGCAATGACAATAAAATTATCTTAAATTTTGAATTATCAGGAGGACCTGAGAGGAACCTGTCAGAGGATCGCTGAGGCTGTGCTCGGTAGAGATGATGACTGGCAGATGGGAAAAACAAAGATCTTCCTCAAGGTATTTTGTGCTTTTAGGTGTTGAATTGAATTTATTCAGTCAAAACATTTTAATAATATAATCAATAAAACATTACACTACATTTAAAGTGGCTTGTAAATAAATCCTTTAAAAATCATACGATGTGGTTTTCTAGATATTTTTTCTCATTTTGTCTCGCATAGCGGTGAGGATTAGCTACATTTTTGTTAAGTGATCAATCAGAATCAGAAGTTTTTGTTGCCATATGTGTGCCAAGTCACAACATTAGGAAATTGCTGCGGTATTTTGGTGCAGAAGGTAAGATAGAAAAACATTAAGAGATAAGCAAATGTAAGAACTAATAAAACACTCATGATAAAATTATTAATGTAAAAAGTGGCAGGAATTAGAGAAGCAGCTATCTACTCCGTGTAGGTACTAATCTGAGTGTTTGCTGAATGGTTCAAGCACAGCATCGGGTCACGTGACTGGGACCAATCAACTTGAGTGGGCTGCCCTAGGATGTTCATTCACAAGTCCAACTGTCGATGGTGATGAAGATAAGAATTGAACCAGAGGAGAGATGATCTTGAAAGGCCAAAAGCTTGCAGTTTATCCAGTAAAAGATAGTGATCAACTAGATCGAATTCCATGCTGTAGTTCTTTGTAAACACAGAGCGGTTTTGTTTACCTGTTCACTTCAGTGACGTCACCATCAGCGTCAGCCTGAGGAAGTTTGCAGCCGCAAACGAAATGTAGCGGGAAAACAGGTAAACGAAACTGCTGTGTTTTAACTACAGCATGGAATTAGAGATGCGACACAGCAAGAACACACCTAAGATGAACTAGATTTGGGAAGATCTAAAAGATTGGCATCAGTACAATGAATTTCAAAAGAGCAGTGGTTGTAGAAAAAGGTTTTCTGAAGCCAGATTGGCATTGAGTTAGTAAGTTAGTCATGTTGTGGTGTAGAAATCTAGCCCACGACATACAGAATCAGCCTAGAGACGGGGATAAAGTGTTTAAATAAGAATTTATTAAAATGGAAACCAAGGAAGCAGCATAAAACAAAGCTGAGTTCTTTCACCAGGGAGTCGGTGCGGAAAATCTGTGAACAGATGGGAGTTAGATCCAACTCGAGGAGGGAATAAGGAATCGGAATTGTGCGGAGGACTTACGGTCTGGAGAGGAGGGAACTAACTCGAGGGAGGAGTGGTTTGGTCTGAGCTGAGAGGGTTTTCCTGGGACTGAGATCCAAAAGGTGAGATGTGGAGGGAGCTGAGCTTGTGGAGGTCCAGGAAGCTTAGGTGGGCAGCTGGAGGTGGTTCTGGCCAGGGAGCGGCTGAGAGACAAGCAGGTTGGAGATCCAGATGATAGGAGTTCCAGAGTTCAGTCAGTCAGAGATGAAGGTGGAGGTTTTATCAAGAGCAGGAAGGGTAAATGCAAAAATCCAAAATCCAAAACACATCTAAAATCTCAAAAGGTCCAAAGAGCTCGAATATAATACTAAGAGGTGGCTTAGAAGGTACCCAGGTAGAGTAATCATCCAGCGAAGTGCAGAAGTCTCCCAGCTGCTTAAATACACCTGGCAGATCTGCTGCAGCTTGGTCAACCTCCAGACACGCCCACCTGCAGAGGGAAAACCCAAGAGACAGGGAGTGACAGCAGGAATACACCTCAGGCCTAGTCCACACGTAGCCGGGTTTATTTAAAAACCAATATCCGCCCCTCCAAAAACTTGCATCCACACCACCACGTTTTTAAATAAGACTCTGTCCACACGTACCCGGATGAATACGTTGTTAAGGACATGCCAGACCTGTAGGCGGCAGTACTTCCCCCGTTCTTAACCTCGTCCTTCGTCTGTGGTCTTCCGCAAGGAGCAGTAATTCCGCTTGCAAACACAAACAAGCAAAAAGCGCTTGGACAATTGATAAAGCGAGCGCAGCTCTGAGGGCATCATGCTGTCGGCTAGTGTGAACACAGGTCGCACACGTGATGTCAGCATTTTTTTGTCGTGGAAAGTGACGTTGCGGCCCTTAAAACTCCGGTTTTGTCCGTCCACACGCAGACACCCAAAACGGAGAAAACGCAGATCTTCACTTTGGCCGGAGTTTTTAGAAAGATCCGTTTTCATGTGAAAAAACTGTTTTCGTGTGGATGACAGGCCAAAACGTAGATCCCCGGCTGCGTGTGGACAGGGCCTCAGACCGTGACAGTTATTATCTGAGAGATGGTCATATGATTGTGTAAAGATTAATTTCTCAAACACTTTCACCACACAGTTGATTATTGATAATTGCCTGTAATTATTCAACATTTGTACGTCACCTCCTTTATGTAAAGGAATGACTTTAGTGCATTTCCAAGCAAAAGGCACTTCACAGGTATCAAATGACATATCAAAAAGGGCAGCTAAAGGTGGTTTGATAACATGAGATGCAAGTTTGATAAACCTGCTCTCAATGCCATCAGGGCCCGGACCATTGCTAGAGGAAAGTCTATCAATGGCCTGTTGAACTTCGATTGAGGTGACATGTCTAAAGTTAAATTAGCTAGAACAGCTGTACAAATGCGAGTTATCTTGGGGTCCAAAAGAGTCAACAGGTGGAGTTTGGGAGAAAATTAAGCTAAAGGCATTGGAGATCGTAGCTGGGTCATTAGTTATTTCATTGGTAACCATCATATTATTCGAAGCATTAGTAGTCTTGCCAGCTAAGGTGTTAACGTTCCTCCAAAATTGCTTTGGGTCATTTGTGAGACTGTCTCTATAATAAATGGCTTTGGCATTTCTTGTTTGTGTTGTGCATCTGTTTCATAAACGTTTGTATTCTGCCTGATCGTCAGGTAATTGTGTTTGTTCATATTTTGTCCAAGCCCTATCCCTTTGTTTAAAAAGATTAATTAGGTCACCATTAACCCACCATTAACCGATTCTGTTCATAACCTTTATGGACAGGATTTCTAGGCGCAGCTAAGGTCTGGGGGGAATCCGTTTTGGTGGCCTGAGGATCGGGTCTCTGCTTTTTGCAGATGATGTGGTCCTGTTGGTTTCATCAGAACATGATCTTCAGCTTTCGCTGGAGCGGTTCGCAGCCGAGTGTGAAGCAGCTGGGATGAGAATCGGCTCCTCTAAATCTGAGACCATGGTCTTGATTCAGAAAAGGGTAGAATGCCTTCTCCGGGTCAGGGATGAGGTCCTGCCCCAAGTGGAGGAGTTTAAGTATCTCGGTGTCTTGTTCATGAGTGAGGGAAAACTGGAGGGTGAGATCGATAGGTGGATTGGTGCTGCATCTGCAGTGATGCGGGCGTTGTACCGGTCTGTCGTGGTGAAGAGAGAGCTGAGTCAGAAGGTGAAGCTCTAATTTACCGGTGGATCTACGTTCCTACCCTCACCTATGGTCATGAGCTTTGGGTAGTGACCGAAAGAACCAGATCACAGGTACAAGCGGCCGAGATAAGTTTTCTCCGCAGGGTGGCTGGGCTCTCCCTTAGATATAGGGTGAGAAGCTCTGTCATCCGGGAGGGGCTCGGAGTAGATTTGCTGCTCCTCCGCATCGAGAGGAGCCAGTGTAGGTGGCTCGGGCATCTGGTCAGGATGGCTCCTGGACACCTCCCTGGTGAGGTTTTCCGGGCACGTCCAACCGGGAGGAGGCCTAAAGAAGACCCAGGACACGGTGGAGGGACTATGTCTCTCACCTGGCCAGGGAACACCTTGGGATTCCCCCGGAGGAGCTGGCCCAAGTGGCTGAGGAGAGGGAAGTCTGGGAATGTTGACAGAGAGTGCAGGAACATTGGGAGAGAATGTTTGTCTGAATGTTTTGTCTTCATGGAATGTAAACACACGCTGAGCAGAACCTTCTGGATTTAGAAGGTCAAACAGAAAGTGGATTTATGCTGTAGATGAAAGGTTGTGTTGGTCAATAAAGGAGAAAGTTGACCCTTTTGGACGTTGCATCAGAAAGGTCACCCACTGGATTTGAAACCCCTTTGAGCTATTTTGAGGCTTGACACATGTAAACCATGGCTTCTGGTCATGACACCCTTCTTGTAAATATATGTTTATAATTTTGTGGTCTGCAGAATCTGATCCTATCTTCTGGACATTGTTGAGTATTAAGAGAAATTAACAAAGGAAAAACTTTTTAGAATTAAACATTACAATAAAAAGAAATGTGTTAATAAATGTTTTGTATTGGTAATTTAGTTTACTAATACAGTTGAGAGTTAATTTTGAATAATTTAATTAAGTGATCTGAAAGCTTTTGATTTTTTCTTTGTTGTCGTAATCAAATGACTAAAGAATGCAACAAAATTCCCTGCAGTGCCATGTCGCCACGGCGCTTTCATTGACACACCTTGATGGCAGCATTGTGCTGTTTTGCTGGCATGTGTCTTCTAAAAAGGGTTGGAATGAAACTGATCATTTAGGCCCAAGAATTATCCCATATTTATCTTAACAGTAAAGCAACTGGTCATCGTAACGTCCAGCTTTTTCCCAGCAGACTGGGAAAGAACCAGTTTGTTGAAGCTGTGCTGTCGATTTTTCCAGTAAGATGTCTGCTGGCAGGAAGAACTCTGAGTTTTGTTTCCTGCTCTCTGTGCGTTTCTCATATTTAATTTCGCTCTGATGTGCTTGCACACATAAATATGTGGTTTCCCACCCTCCAAGAGCAGATATTTGTGGTGATGGAGCTGTTTTTGGAGTTGATTGTGTAAATTTAACAAAAACAAGAACAGCCTCACTGCTCAGCTGACAGGAAGCACAGCAGGAAGGAGAAACTTGACCTCTTGAAAGGAGGGAAGTAAGCAGACTTCCTTTGAAAGATGTGTTATGTGGATGGAGGACAAACAGATCAGTGAATCTAGAGAATACTTTGATGTGTTAACATTTTCTACCCTGGCTTTAGGTGCTTTATTAAAATGTTATAGTGCCCCACCACCATCACAAGGAGGAAAGGAGTCAGTCGCTCTGGAACTACCTCCTCTTGACCTCCACACCACTGATTCTCTCCCCACATTTCAGAAGTTTCGCCACCTGGTTTAACTTTTACTGTTTTAAAGTTTCAATGTTTTTTAAATCTTGTTCTTAGTTTATTTTATCTGCCTTGTTGTAAAGTAGGGCTGCACGATATTAGGAAAACCTGCGATATTCGATAACAGTGCTTAATATTGCGATATCGTTATTACTCACGATAAATGAACAAATACTAAAGTATGCAGTGTTGATGTCGTCTGACGTGTGACGTCTGCTCTGGGTTTAAAGCAAACAAAAACTAATGCATGAATTCCATTACAACATATAAATATGCAGCTGCACCTGCTACTGTATTAGCAGCTGCACCTGCTACTGTATTAGCAGCTGCACCTGCTACTGTATTAGCAGGTGCACCCGCTACTGTATTAGCATCTGCACCTGCTACTGTATTAGCAGCTGCACCTGCTACTGTATTAGCAGCTGCACCCGCTGCTGTACTAGCAGCTGCACCTGCTACTGTATTAGCAGCTGCACCTGCTACTGTATTAGCATCTGCACCTGCTACTGTATTAGCAGCTGCACCTGCTACTGTATTAGCAGGTGCACCCGCTACTGTATTAGCGGCTGCACCTGCTACTGTATTAGCAGCTGCACCTGCTACTGTATTAGCAGCTGCAGCTGCTGCTGTATTAGCAGCTGCACCCGCTACTGTATTAGCAGCTGCAGCTGCTGCTGTATTAGCAGCTGCACCCGCTACTGTATTAGCAGCTGCACCTGCTACTGTATTAGCAGCTGCACCCGCTACTGTATTAGCAGCAGCACCTTATTAGCAGCAAAACAACAAACTGCATGCATGCAGTTTCTCAGTGACTTTAAAACATCACCTCCACCATAAAACTTTTTCTGATGCTCCAAATACAGAAAAACATCCCTTACCAGGGTTTTTAATTAATAAAAATATCAGAAAATAAGTTTAAATGTTAAATAATAGTTATCACTTAAATGCAACAGCAAATTCTCTCATTGCTACTGAACATTTTCTCCACTTATGTGGTTATGATATGAGGCTGTTGCTGTAACTGGGAAGTGAACTGTGCTGGGCCAAACTAGGAGAATATTAAGATTTTCTGAGGGAAAGAGAAAAACAATTGTCTACCTTTCAGAAGAGGAACTGGCAAAAAACTACATGGAAAATATGTGAAAACATTTGTTTTCAATCCCAAATTGAACAAGTTTACCTAGATCTTAAAAAGCAGCTCAGATGATCAAACTGCAACTATGATTCTGATAACAAGCTAACAAATTGAGCTAGCTCCTCTAAGATAAGCGGCTAGCAGAGCTTCTGACTGACAGTTTATGTGCAGCAGCAAATCAACTATCCTGATTAACAAGGTTGTAAAAGCTCATAAATGAAAAATCACTTTGATGTGTGGGGGAACTTTTCCAGTCCCTCTTTAGCAGGGTGGGACTGGGAGGAGAGTTCTGTAGCCTTTTAGCTGGAAGCTAACCGGAGCCTGGGGCTACCGGTGGGTTGGTTCACCGGCACGTGTCGGAGTCAGCCCGGTTATTATCAGCTGCTTAACGACACCGAGCGGAGTCACGTTCATGTTTGAAAGCAGCGCTGATTCCAGAAACCTCAGCACAAAGTGTGTTTGTTAATCTGAGCCAGCATGACGAACAAGGGAAGCGAGCGGCAGCGGAAAGCGGGGGCAGGGGAGCGGAGATAGTGGAATTTTGGGGTAAGGTTCTACGTAGGGGCGGGCGTATTACGTGAACTTACCCATCTGATTGGCCGCATATCAGAAGGGCTACATTTGATTGGTCAAATAATACCTACGCGTAAAAAACAGAGCTGGTTTACAAAAAATTGATGTATGACATGGATGGAAATGTCAGAACCAAACATTTATCGCTGTTTTTGACGTGCTTTGCGATGGGCCTATCGCACGTCCTGTTATCGCGATGACGATAATTTTTTGATATATTGTGCAGCCCTATTGTAAAGTGTCCTTTGATGTCTTTAAAGGCTCTTTTAAAATAAAACATATTATAATTGTTGTTTTCTGAATTCAGAAACAAATATTAGTAACATTAACATTTTATTCTATTTTCTATCTTATTTAAAGTTACCTTTCTTATAGAACAAATATAAGAACATTATGCTTTCTTCAGACTGCGGGGTAAACAGGTCCAGGGGAAGCTCAGAAATTCCTCTCCCAAGCAACACTACCCAAGGTTTTCTCTTTTTCGTTTCTGATGGTCACACAACTTTTCCCCTTAGTCTCAATGTCTTTAACTTGTCGAATGTCACAACCTTAGATAGGTTGCACTCCCCAGGGCTTTTTGACCCTAATGGGCATCCGCTGGTAAGGTCTTCTCCAACACAATTATACAGATTGCTTACAATGATTTAGGTATCTCCTACCCCCTATCACCAGGAAAAATACACACTGTCACTTTAAAAAAACAAACCCTGAATGATCCACTATTCTTTCTCAATGTACTGTTTTAAACGACAGTACTTTCCTTTGGCAAAATAACAAACACATCAGACTCCCTTTCATCACTGGCAAAGAGGTAAATGTCTAAAAGAGGGTTTATGAATTGTGGAAGTTTTGTTACCGTTTGTTACAAATCAGTAAATGCATTTTGTCCTCATGGGCTCCTGTAGAAGGAAACATGGCATCCAATATAGCATCGCCCATGGACTAAGACCCGCTCCCATGTGTTTTAGACCGGATTTTTATAGTTTTGTGTTACAAAGCTGTCAGTATTTTTCAGCAACTGGGCATCATTTAATTCCTTTTTAACAACATTTCAATGGATATTTCCAGAGATTAAAGGTAAAAACTACACATTGTCTTTTTAATGCTCTGACCAGTGCCACCCCTCCCTATGAAAAACATGAGCTGTGTGTACAGCCCTGCTTTTCATGTGGCCCCATTACATGCAGGAGGATGCATTCTCTGTAAATGCACAAAGGATGAACAGCATTCCTGTCAGGCATGCTCCATGTAGCGCACCACCAGTCTAGGCAGAGGGAGACGTGATTTGATACTGCATGTCTCCACAATGATTGGCAGCACACAGCTTCTGAAAAACAAGTGGTCAAATGTGCCAACAGGCAGATGGATCCATGCAGGTGGAGAGATGGTGTCCAAACAGCAAATATAGATTGGGGTAGGCAAAAGAAATAAAAAGGGTCAAACAAAAGGAGCTGCAGGCTTCGTTTGAAGGTATGTATGCTGCTGGATGTAGCCTTGAAATCTAGACCAACTGTAGCAAAGAGATTTACCTCTGCAGGTCTGTCGAGCCAGACTTCATGTTAGCCTCAGCAGGTCTACCATTGACCCAATCAATTTTGAGTCAGGCCAATCGCAGCGCTCCACATTTGTTTGGTGACTTAACGCTAGAGCTGTGCCTTAGCAAAACTGCAAAAATGAGAGAAAAACCTTCTGCTCAGGGCCTCATATTGGCTAGGGGCAGCCCTGGTTCTGACAACTGTGTGGGCAGCAGTAACAGGCCTGTTTGAGGAAATGTGATCTGACCGTTTAGTTCAGGTACCGTTCACCTGGAGAACAAATTCTCTAACCCTATTGGTGTTTGAAGGTTCCAGATCCTTCATTAGTGAATCCAACACAGCAGGCTTTATTAACTGAAGGTTTACTACAAACCTACTTTTGCTTTGGCACCACCGGCAGGGTCTTGTTTTCAACATAATGAACTTTTCTGAGGAAAAGCAGGATGAGGCAGACTCTTGTTTTAGTTTGTAGTTTTTTTCATGGGCCAAAGTGAAGAAATCTCATCAGGTGAATAAATAAATGCTAAACTGAATATTATCTATCAGCTCATTAAATAAAAGTAGATCTTACAGAATTAGCAGGTTTCTTTGAAGGCAACTAGACTTTTTATTTTGTGAAGATGTCTCACTTTTGGTCCAAACAGCTTTGATTATAGATGTGTAAATTATCACCTTGATTTTCAGTTGGCTGCACAGTGGAGCAGTGGTTGCCTGGGTTCAACTCCTGGCCTGGGGTCTTTCTGCGTGGAGTTTGCTTGTTCTCCCTGTTCATGTGTGGGTTCTCTCTAGGTACTCAAGCTTCCTCCCATATTCCAAAAAAGTGATCGTCAGGTTGATTGGTCTCTATGAAGTGTCCTTGGTTGTTTGTGTGTTTCTGGGTTGCCCTGCGATGGACAGGCAACCTGTCCAGGGTACAACCTATCCAGGATTAGCGGCGTGTCACGGTACCCTGGACAGGTTGCCTGAAGACTGTTAGAGATAGGCACTCTAAGTCTCCTCCCTTCTCGGTCGGCTCAGGGTTCCCCGGAAGAACGAAAAAATGAAAGTAAGTGAACGGGGCTAAAAACCCTATTTTCCAACCCGCTTTGCCTTACGCCCTGGATCACACATGTTGTACTGTATTTAAATGAAAACTAACGATGGGTGTTTCGATCACACCAGTCATGTACTTTGAGATTTATCAGCTTGTAAAAAGTCATAATTAGCATGACTACAAACCAGAAATTGGCACGTCACCACTTAAGCTCCTGCCCCTAGCGTAGCTGCTACTCACCACATGACCAGATTTATGGTGGTTCTTTCCTCCTGTGGGAAGTTTGCTGAACTTACACATTTTCCCTCAGTTTTCTCCGTGTCTGGTTCGATGACGTCACTTTGGTGAAGCACATTTGTAGTCCTGGACTTATTTTCACACAAAATCCCTCGATCAAAAATAAACCTGTTCTTGGTATCAAAAGCTTATTTAAAATTCACGGACATCATATGTGAAATCCATGGTACAAAACAAGCGGGATTAGAAAATTGCGTTTTTAGTCCCGTTGACTTGCATTCATTTTTTCCTTCTTCCGGGGTCCCATGGTCCGGAAGTAGGTGGACGTGACTTAGGCTTCCTATAGCCACCGGCCCCCGTGTGGACAAGCAGGTATTAAAAATGGATGAATGAATGATTTTCAGTTGTTTTGTGTCTACTGGTGTAGGACCACCATGACATGCTGCTGGAGATCGAGAGAGACAAGGCCATCACTGACAAGGTCATCCTCATCCAGAAGGTGGTTCGAGGATTTAAGGACAGGTATGGTCTTAAAACTGGATTTCACTCCTTTGATTAAAGGAAATATGTTTGCTCAAGCTTTTTGGGAACGTACTACAGATCAGGAGCCTCATTTATAAAACTTTGTGTAGAATCCTGCCTTAAACTAACCCTAACCCAACAAATACATTCACTAACACAAACTAATTATCTGACCTCTAAAACTCTGCTCATGCACAGCTGCAGCAGTTCCTGCTTTATAAATCACACCTGTCCTCAAAATGAGCTCAGGTGTTTCTGGATCACGTCCCTCCTCCTACACCCACTCTGCCATAAATGGATGATGTCGACAACACGATGAATATTCAGCATATACATAAACCTGCTGATTAGCGGCGTGTCACGGTAACCATGACAACTGAGCAGGAAATTCAGGCTCTGGGGTGTGATACAGGCATGGACAAATAGTTTTTTAGCCTTCAAATGGCATCATGCTGCTGCAGCGGTAAGCTGTGGAGAGATCATTAACAAAAGTAAAAATGTAAAGAAACGGTCAGATTGTATTTGTTTATTAGCTTCCCATTAGCTGCTGCTTCACACAACAACTACTCTTCCTGGGGTCCAACCACAACATCAACAACTCAAAAGAAGTCTTTGGACTTATACACATTAGGACTAATGGAGCCTAAGATGATTAATAATGATTGATAATATCAATAAAAGTGTCACTATGGTGCTCAGGAATTGCTGATATATTCCAAATCTAAGGGGACATTTATTGAAAACATTTAATTTACACCAAAGGTGCTTTAAGCAGCAAATATTCTTCATCATATCAAACAAATATCATCCTGGCAGCAAGTCCTGTCAGTTTAACTCTAACCCCTGTTATGATTCAAAAGGGTCAATGTTCACCATCTAACTGACACGGTAACCTTTCATACACGCCAGAGCTGCAAAGCCAAGGTTACATCAGCTGGAGGATTCAGACGCACACATCAACCTTTTGCTCACTTATTGTTCTTCAACGCAGACACAAATAAACTGTCAAGGTCTCCTGCAAAAGCCCTTCTCTCTCTGCTAAAAGGCAGACTGCTGGATTCCTCACTGAATAAAAGTGAATCTACACGAATCCTACAAGGCTTTACAACTTAGAAGTTATTTAATCATATGGTTTAATGAACAAGAAGTTTAAATGAAATGTTTGAATAACTAACTTATAAGTTGTAAAGTGTTAGGTATTTTTATTTATTCAATCCAGGCGTACCTCAAAGAAAGTCCAAACCACACAAGGGGGGTTAGAGATATTATTGTTATTAATACCATTTACCAGTAAACACAAATAATCAATAATCAGATTTTGCAAAACCGGAGAGAAAAAAGAAACACACCAGTTGTGAGAGGTCTGTTTAGTCTCTCGACGAGCCGGAGCCCATCAAAAGGTTTTATTCACAGATGACATATGACATATGGCACACACACATTAAAGATGACCACACCCACCCCTTCACAGACAGCAAACGTTCCCAGGTTCAGAGAAACACTCCGTCTGGACTTCACCAGGGAGCTTGTTGTGATAACAGAACTGCTGACTTACAAGGTCGACTTTCCCTGCGGCAGGAGCCGGTTAATAACACCAGATGGTTCCCAGACAAAATCATCTTACATGCATCCAATACTGTATTTACCGCGTTAAATGTGAATAAGGCTAATGAACTCTGTTTGAAAGAATGACACTATTAGAAAGTGTCAGGTGAAAATCTGTTTTTTACCCAACATAATGCTTTGTAGGATTCGTGTAGATTCACTTTTATTGAGGGTTTTCTAGCATGAACCGCCTTTTTAAGGTCATGCCATAGCATCTCAATAGGATTCAGGTCAGGACCTTGACTAGGCCACTCCAAAGTCTTCATCTTGTTGTTCTTCAGCCATTCAGAGGTGGATTTGCTGGTGTGTTTTGGGTCATTGTCCTGCTGCAGCACCCAAGATGGCTTCAGCTTTAGTTAATGAACAGATGGCCGGACGTTCTCCTTCAGGATGTTTTGGTAGACAGTAGAATTCATGATTCCATTGATCACAGCAAGACTTCCAGTTCCTGAAGCAGCAAAACAACCCCAGACCATCACACTGCCACCACCATATTTTACTGTTGGTATGATGTTCTTTGTCTGAAATGCTGTGTTACTTCTACGCCAGATGTAACGGAACATTTGTCTTCCAAAAAGTTCAACTGTTGTCTCATCAGTCCACGAGGTATTTTCCCAAAATTCTTGGCAATCATTGAGATGTTTCTTAGCAAAACTGAGACGAGCCCTCATGTTCTTTTTGCTTAACAGTGGTTTGTGTCTTGGAAATGTGCCATGCAGGCCATTTGTGCCCAGTCTCGTTCTGATGGTGGAGTCGTGAACTTTGACCTTAATTGAGGCAAGTGAGGCCTGCAGTTCTTCAGAAGTTGTCCTGGGGTCTTCTGTGACCTCTCGGATGAGTTGTCTCTGCGCTCTTGGGGTAGTTTTGGTCGGCCGCCCACTCCTGGGAAGGTTCACCACTGTTCCATGTTGTTGCCATTTGTGGATAATGGCTCTCACTGTGGTTCGCTGGAGTCCCAAAGCTTTAGAAATGCCTTTATAACCTTTACCAGACTGATGGATCTCAATGACTTTTGTTCTCATTTGTTCTTGAATTTCTTTGGATCTTGGCATGATGTCTAGCTTCTGAGGTGCTTTTGGTCTACTTCTCTGTGTCAGGCAGCTCATATTTAAGTGATTTCTTGATTGAAACAGGTGTGGCAGTAATCAGGCTCGGGGGTGGCTACAGAAATTGAACTCAGGTGTGAAACACCACAGTTGGGTTATTTTTTAACAAGGGGGCAATTACTTTTTCACACAGGGCAATGTAGGTTTGGATTTTGTTCTCTCCCTAAATAATAAAAACCATCATTTCAAAAGTGCATTTTGTGTTTACTTGTGTTATCTTTGACTAACGGTTAAATGTGTTTGATGATCAGAAACATTTTGTGTGACAAACATGCAAAAGAATAAGAAATCAGGAAGAGGGCAGATAGTTTTTCACACCACTGTAGCACCAAATCACAACCACAGCTTCACAAAGTCAGCATTTTTCAGACCTATTTTGTGCAGCTTACTCAACAAGGATCCTGTTGAAGAACATCTTTCCTTCTTTAGATCAAACTTCCTGAAGTTGAGGAAGTCAGCCATGTTGGTCCAGAAGACATGGAGAGGGTACCACTGTCGGAAGAACTATGGAGCTGTGAGTAGCGTCCAGTGCTTTAAAGTTTCACCGTTTTGGTCACAATTGCAACTTCAACTCTTAATGGTGCTCTTGACAACAGTGTCGGATCACACTGGTGACTAGTCTTTTGAGAAAAATAAAAATCTCAGGAGCTGAAATGTCTCCAGCCATATTAGATGCTCACTTTAGGGCAGCAGCAGCTCAGGAGGAAGAGTGGGTTGTCCAGTGATCTGAAGGTTGCAGGTTCAATCCCGGCTCTGACCAGAGAACTCTGCTGTTGTG